AGGTTCCGTCTCGTCTCTCTCTCGCTCTGTCCTCTCTCTCCCTCTCGCTTCTGCTGACGCTTCCTTCGTCCCCCTCGCCACAACCTTCTAAATTTTTCTATTTTTCTCTCATCTTCGATCCTTCCTTTTTCTCTCTTTATCTAATTGTAAATTGCCTCTCCTTCCCCGCCTTCCTCACCTTTCTCTGCCTCTCTTAGTTTTTTTTTTCTTTTCTTCCCACCCTTTCTTCCCTCCTTCCTGCTGCTTCCTTTTTTTTTCTCCCTCCTCCTTCGCACTCGTCCTATTCTCTCCCCTCTCCTATTTTTTTTTTTTTTTCCCTTTCTTATAACTCGTTCCCTGTCTATTCTCGTGTTTTTTACCCCTCTTTCGTTGTTCTCCTCCCCCCATTCACTCCCCCCATTTCTATCTTGTTTATTCTCTCTCTGCTACGCTCGTATCTCCCCTTTTTATTAACGTTTTTTTGTTCTTAAACCCATATTTTTTTCCTTATCTCCTTTCCCTCCTTCATACCCATTCTCTTCTCAATATTTCTCTCTCCTCGCTTCTTTGCTTTCTTTTCCCCCCCCCCTTCCCCCTCCCCCCCCCCCCCCCTATTCCCCTGTTTCTTTCTCTCTTTTAGTATCTCCCTTTTCCAACCCCAAACCATATTTTTTTTATCTCCCACCTCTTCATCCTGTCTTATTCATAATCTCTCTCGCTTCTTTCCTACTATTCCTCCCTGTTTCCTTCTTTTTCTTCTCTTTATTATCTCCTTTTCTTTTTTCCAACCATATTTTCCCCTTATCTCCTCACCTCCTTCATACCCATGTCTCTATCTCATATTTCTATCTCTCTCTCCTTCTTTCCTACTTCCCTGTTTCTCTTTAGTATCTCCTTTTCCAACCCATATTTCCCATTTCTTATCTCCTCTCCTCCTTCATATTACCCATTTCTATCTCTATCTCTCTCCTTCTTTCCTACTTCCCTGTTTCTTTAGTATCTCCTTTTCCAACCATAATTTCCCATATCTCAATCTTCCTCCGCTTCATACCCATTTCTCTATCTCTATTCTCTCTTCCTTCTTTCCTACTTCTTCCCTGTTTTCTTTTAAGTATCTCTTTTCAACCATATTTTCCCTTATCTCGTCCTCTCCTCTTCATACATTCTTCTATTCTATCCTCTTCTCCTCTTCTTTCCTAACTTCCCTGTTTCTTTAGTATCTTATCTACTCCCTCTGCCGCTCCCGACAACCACAGTAACGTCGAGGACACACACTAAAGGAACGGCCAAGGATAGAGGATGAAAAGAGAAGGAAGAATACAGGATGAAAAGAGAAGGAAGAATAGAGGATGAAAAGAGAAGGCTCAACAAGCGTGATTTTGGCTCGCGGGGAAAAGAAGCCATAACTGCCCGTGAAACTGCGAAAAAGAAAATGAAAGAGGGATAAAGAGAGAGAGAGAGAGATAGGCTGACAGACATATAGATAGGCAGATACATACACACATACAGACAACACAAGACAACACATACACACACACACTACACACACACACTACACATACATACATATACATACATATTATATATATTATATATAATATATATATAATATTTATATATATATATATAATATATATATTATATATATATATATATATATATATTAAAGAAAGGAAAGAGAAGGGGAGAGAGAGAAAGCCAGACAGACAGACAGAAAGTCAAGCCCAGACGTATAGAGACAGATACAGGATACAGAAGAGAGAGAGAGAAAAACAAAACAAAAAAACAACAAAACAGAATAATAATAACAACGGAAGAGAATCAAAAAGCGAACGCAAGAGAGAGAGAGAGGGCAGGAATAAAGATCAATTAAAAGAAGGACACCAAAAAGGAAGGAAGGAGGAACGCCAGGACGCGCTGCAGTTAAAAGACGTACATAATATGAGTCCTAAAACAACAGCACGGAAAAAGGGAACAGGGAGGGACAATAAAGGCTGGAACAAAGAACAAAGTCGCCGTTTTTTTACTCGCGGTGGAGAACAAAATACAGCAAGAGGAAAGAATGTTTGGAGAGAACAGATAGGGGCTTTGTTTTCTTCCATGTAAGGAGGTGGAGAGAGACGGAAAAGCAAATAGACAGATCGAGAGATAGATAAACAAAAAGGACAGAGACAGACAAATAGATAAACAGATAGACAGACACATAGCTTGGCAGACAGACAGAGCAGACAAATAGATAAACAGACAGATAGATGAAACAGAGAGACAGACACATAGCTTAGCAGACAGACAGATACAGACAGACAGACAAATAGATTTACAGACAGACAGAGAGACAAATATATAAACAACAGACAGACACATAGCATAACAGACAAACAAATAGATAAACAAAAAAACAGACAGAGAGACAGACAAATAGATGAAGGGACAGACAAAGAAACAAACAAACAGAATGACAGACATATCAAAAAGACTATTACAAAGACAAAAAAAAGTCCAAAGAATCAATGTCCACTTTCTATAATAACAGATGCCAAGGAAAGGAATGGGGCTCAGTGGGGAAGGGGGGAGGGGGGGGGGGGGGCGTGAAGGAGGTGAGGAAGGAGGAAAGAGAGAGAGAGAGAGAGAGAGAGAGAGGTGGGGAGGGGGAGAAAGAAAAAGGAAAGAGAGAGAGAGAAGAGACAGACAGACAGGGAGAGAGAATGAGGGGGGAGGGAGGGAGGAGGGAGGGAGAGAGAGAGAGAGAGAGAGAGAGAGAGAAAGAGAGAGATAGAGAGCGAGAGAGAGCGAGGGAGAGAGAGAATAAGGGAGGGAGAGTGATGGAGGTGATGCAGTAGATCAGAAACGGCGCGAAGTTTTCTCGTTACCAGGCGTCTAGGTGGAGCATGTGGATGACAGGTTGATGAACAGACGGTGGACTCGCTCAGTGGATGATGGCATACGGAGAGTGGATTGCGGGAAATAGATGGTTGATTGTGGCATGTGGATAGTGGCAAGTGGATTGGGGATTGGGGAAAATGGATAGTTGGTTATAGCATATGGATATTTGATTGGAATGTGGATGGTGGATTGTGTTATGTGGATAGTTGGTTGTGTCAAATGGATAGTAGATTGTGGAAAATGGATAGTTGGTTATAACATATGGATATCTTATTGGCATGTGGATAGTTGGTTGTGTCAAATGGATAGTGGATTGTGGAAAATGGATAGTTGCTTATGACATAGATATTTAATTGACATGTGGATAGTGGAATGTGGCATGTGGATATAGGTATTTCCATAGTGGATTGTAGCATGTGAATACCTCGTTGGATTAAAAAGGTAGACGGATTTAGAGTGTGGATGCGAATGTAAATTTTCGTCTAACAAAAAAAAAAAAAAAAAAAATAATAATAATAATATAATATAATTGACCTACAAGAGAAGAGAAGCGTTGGTCAGTGGACATTAAGTGGATATTCATGAACAAATGGCGTGTGAATATTAGATACACTGGGAGAGAGAGACAGAGGAGGATCAAATGTCATCTATGAATATAAAAGCGCAGTTAAATAGATTCTAGAAGTGGATAAAATGGACTGAAGGTAAAAACAGATTAAAGAAGTAGAAAAAAAAAAGAAAAAAGTGTAGATAATTAGTTGACATTCTGTCTCTAGCGTTCCTCAAGCGGAATTGTGCAAGAGGGAGGGAGAGAGGAGAGAGAGAGAGAGAGAGAGAGAGAGAGAGAGAGAGAGAGAGAGAGAGAGAGAGAGAAGAGAGAGAGAGAGAGAAAGAGAGAGAGAGAGAGAAGAGAGGCGTGTGTGTGTGAGAGAAGAGAGCGTGTGTGTGTGTGTGTGTGTGGTGTGTGAGAGAGAGAGAGAGAGAGAGAGAGAGAGAGAGAGAGAGAGAGAGAGAGAGAGAGAGAGAGAGAGAGAGAGAGAGAGAGAGAGAGAGAGAGAGAGAGAGAGAAGAGAGAGAGAGAGAAGAGAGAGAGAGAGAGAGAGAAAGAGAGAGAGAGTGAGAGAGAGAGAGAGAGAGAGAGAGAGAGAGGAAGAAAAGATAGAGAGAGAGAGAGAGAAAGAGGAAGATAGATAGATAGATAGATAGAGAGAGACAGAGCGAGGAATCGAGAGAGAGAGAGTAGAGTAGAGAGAGAGAAAGACAGATAGATAGAGATAGATAGATAGATAGAGATAGATAGATAGATAGAGATAGATAGATAGATAAAGAGAGAGAGAGAGAGAGAGAGAGAGAAGCAGACTGAGATAGACAGAAAGATCGATAGACAGAACGAGAGAGAGAGAGCGCGCCCAGAGAGAGAACCCCCCCTCCCTCCCCCCGTCCGCCCCACGCCCTCCCGCCCAGCTGCACCGGGCATCCCAGGGAGGCGCCCCGGCCCCGATGGAAGGCTGATTGGCCGCCCGCGATCCCAAAGAGAGAGAGAGAGAGAGAGAGAGAGAGAGAGAGAGAGAGAGAGAGAAGAGAGAGAGAGAGAGAGAGAGAGAGAGAGAGAGAGAGAGAGAGAGAGAGAGAAGGAGAGAGAGAGAGAGAGAGAGAGAGAGAGAGAGAGAGAGAGAGAGAGAGAGAGAGAGAGAGAGAGAGAGAGAGAGAGAGAGAGAGAGAGAGAGAGAGAGAGAGAGAGAGAGAATTCGAGGCCCAAGCGAGAGGAAGCCAAGCCGAAAGCCCGGTTTCAAGCGCCCGGGAAACGGCGGAGGAAAGGAGAGGAGAGCGGGTGAAGTACCGAGGCTTCGAGTCGGAGCTGCGGAGGGATGGGGTTCGACTCTCTGGGGGACAGGGGCGGAGTTTGCGCTTCTTGTTGCGAGTGTGTGTGTGAGGGTATAAGTGTGTGTGTGTGTGTGTTTGTGTGAGGTATAAGTGTTGTGTGTGTGAGGGGGTGTGTGTGTGAGGGTATAAGTGTGTGTGTGTGTGTGTGTGTGTGTATGTGAGGGTGTGTGTGTGTGAGGGTATAAGTGTGTGTGTGTGTGTGAGGGTGTGTGTGTGTGAGGTGTGTGTGTGTGTGTGTGAGGGTATAAGTGTGTGTGTGTGTGTGAGGGTGTGTGTGTGTGATGTGTGGTGTGTGTGATAAGTGTGTGTGTGAGGGTGTGTGTGTGTGTGTGTGTGAGGGTATAAGTGTGTGGTGTGTTTGTGTGAGGGTATAAGTGTGTGTGTGTGTGTGTTGAGGGTATAAGTGTGTGTGTGGTGTGTGTGTGTTGTGTGTGTGGGTATAAGTGTGTGTGTATGTGTGAGGGTATGTGTGTGTGTGTGTGTAAGGGTATAAGTGTGTGTGTTTGTCTGCGTGTGTGTGTGTGGGCGTGCTTATGCGTACGTTTGCATCCGTCTACCTGTCTACCCGAGCGAGCCAAGTGTTTACCCCGAAATCCGCGCGAGGCAGAGCCGCCCACTCACCGCTGAGCACGAAGACCGTCACGGTGGCGGGGGCGGCGTTCTCAGGGGCGCAGGTGTAGTTCCCGGAGTGCTTCGGGCCGACGTCCCTCACGATGAGCTGGGTCCTCCCGTCCGCCGTGTGCACCGACACGTCCTTCTTGCCTGTGTACTGCACCACCTTGTCGTTGTGGTAC